TGAAATGAATTTTGGAAGATCTGATTGGTTTGCTCTGATAAATAAACAGCACAGTGACGGGATCTTAATGATTTGTGAATTAGGTGCACTCAAGCTAGTTTGATCAAACTTACATCCGTTATAGTGTTCAGAGCAGTATCTGCGCCAATGCTGAAATCTGAACCGGGGACATTGTTGGAGACAGTGGCGGGCACCATAACCATAGGAATACAGAACTCATCATATTTCCCTCGAGCAACAGTCATCTCCATCAGTCCCAAGTAGGCCTGGAATGCACAGGCACGGTGTAGGAAGGAAAAAAGAAGACACAACAGTGGTTGTATGGGTGGAACAAGATCTTAATGGAGCCATGGGGAGAGCCATAACTACCACAGCACACAGATAGACTGGCAAAGGAACCACTACACATAGTAAAATAAAAGACAAATAATCTAAAAAATAAAAATAAACAATCATATAATGTAAACAAAACATACATCACAAATGGATATTGACATAAACTTGTAACGTTTGTATTCATAAAACAAAAACAAACAAAAAAAATGTTGAATGCTGAAGTTAGAAGCCTCTAATTTAAAAAAAAAAACAAAAAAAGCAACTAAAACGCCACAAATGGACATTATTTTAGAAAATATGTTTTATTATTATAATGACTTGAAATAATGATCAATATGCAGAATTTATTATATGTTGTATACTATTATCTGCATACATATATTTTCTGATATGGAGGACACAAAGGGGGAGATTAAAGCTGCTTTCACACTGATCTCCATTTTTCTTCCGGTTTTGCTTATAAAAAAGCAGAAGAAAGCGTGTGACCATTCCTATGGAACTCTTCACACTGATTCGTTGCGTGTCAGGTGGCTTTTTTATAATCCTGCTTGCTGCCATTTTTGGTGCAATTTTGGTGCGGTAAAAAAAACTACCTCCCCATTGAAATCAATGGAAAATGTGGCAAAAATGCATGAAAAAAGGGACCCACGGTGCGTTTTTGAGTCCACATGTCCTGTAGAAAGATGCAGTAAAAATGCATAAGCGTTTTTGCTGCATTTTTGCTAGGATCAGTGTGAAAGTAGCCTAATGCAGGCCATAGACGGTTCGTTTATTGGCCGAATTTTCGTCCGAAAGAACAATGATATTCGCACCATTAGTGGGGCAATGTCGTTGGCCGATTTTCACGGTTCCTCCTCATTTCTTTTATTGGTCATGCTGGAAAATTTACGATAAACTGCCAATTTTCGTAAGCATTGGTGGCAACAGAACGACCGACTTTTCGTTTTTCGGGCGCAAATTCGGCCGATAAATGAACCGTCTATGGCCTGCATTACTGGTGCACTCAGAATCTGGCGCAGCTGTGTATGGTAGCCAATGAGCTTCTAAATTCAGCTTGTTTAATTAAGAATTAAGAAAACCTGGAAGCTGATTGGTTATTCTGCACAGCTGTAGCAAATTCTGTGTGCGCCAGTTTTAGTACATCCCCCCATACTTCCCAAATTAAAGTGACTCTGTGACCATGAGGTCACTTTTATCCAATATCTCATCTGTTGAAGAAGCGTGGATATATCTACCTTTCCAGTGGCCCATATACTGAAAAGCTGCCACTTTGCCACACCCCAGCCACTGCAAGTGATCGACTTGTTGGGCAGTTCAAATACTTTGTGCTCGTTCACATGGGGCGTATCAATGTGTACCCCATGCAAGGAGTGTGTATACCTGCATGTGGATACATAGGTGTTCCATGTGTCTCTAAACAGGCAGTCCTATTGATGTCTATTGGGATACAGAAGCTGCGTGGATTCAGCCGCTGCTCCCAATATGACATCCGTGCGGGTGCACAAGACTGAATGCACACAGTATATGTTTGGGGCTTTGTGCCCATACCCGCACAAAGTCAAATTGGGAGCAGCGGCTGTGTCCGTGCCACAAAGGGTGGCTGTGGGGAGCAAGTAATCTACACACCAGAAAGTGTAGAACACGTGCAGCCGCTGGGCAGCAGCAACACCGCTACTTTATGCCAGAGAATTAAGTATATCCATGCTTCTACAGGTGAGCTATTGGAAAAAAATGACCTTGTAGTGAAAGAAAATGTTTCCTGAGAAAAATATGGCGGCTGCCATTGCTGAGCTGTCATTCTGCAAATAATAATTGACAGGTGTGCAGGTAAGGAGATAAGAACATCTGACTATCCTGAGCTGTGTACTTGTTCCAGGTCAGGGACTCAGATATTACACAGAAGAACTAAAATTTTAGAACGGTCTATCATATATTAAAGTAATTCTAAAGGAAAAAATAAAAAATAAATAAATATGTTATACTTATCTGCTCCTTGCAATGGTTTCGCAAAGAGAAGCCCCGATCCTCCTCTTGTGGGGTCCCACACCAGCGTTCTTCCCCCCCCGCTGAGTGGCCCCATGACAAGCCACTTGCTATGGGGGGAGTCATGCGGATTCGCTCCTGAGGTACGCTGTATGCATCCATTGACACATACAGCGCTGGCTGTGATTGACAGCAGTGGGAGCCAATGAGAAGAGGCAGCCTCTGCTCTTGTGCACATCACTGGATCAAGATGGGGCTCAGGTAAGTATAAGCGGGGGTTGGGGGGGGGCTGCATACAGAAGGTTTGTTATCTTAATGTAGAATGTAAAAAACCTTCTACCTTTAGAACCACTTTAATTAACTCAGCAAGAGACTCACTGGTATTGGTATATATAAAAATTGGTAGGTACTTGAATACACCGCTATCTGAAAGATCCAGAAGGGGATGAAGCCAGAGGGGCAGCATGTCAGCCAGGCAAAGAGAATTTTAAGATACACATAGCAACAGCAGCCCCCATATTTCTCTTAGGAAAGGATTACAAAAAGAACCTGTAGTGATGGAAGGATGGGACCCATAATCACTTAATTCTGTTTAAGAATACTAGTTGCCTGGCTAGTCATGATAATCCAAAGGCTTCAGTGCTCTCTAAGTCACTGACCCAAAACAAGTATGAAGAATAAATGTCTGATCTGCAGATTTTTCTTTCTTCAATGCTGAAGGAAGTACTGAAGACAATCAATTACCATGACAGCCAGGAGTCTAGCATTGTAGAAGAAGAGGTCAGCAGTGGACATCTTCTCCTAGTACAGATTCCTTTCAATGCATATGTATGTATCTAAAAATAACAAACCAAGTCTACATTTCTATCTATATCTTAACACATTTAAAACATGCTACCAAATCAAAACATAACACATTTCCTTCTAAAAATGCTAGTTGCCTGGATGTCATGCTGATCCAATGGCTTTAATACTTTTTGAGCCACTAATCCACAGCAAGCCCGCGGTTGTTCAGACTTCACTAGCTGCATGCTTGTTCCAATTTCAGTGGCTCACTAAGTATTTATTTTTTTAACTTAAGACCTGTTCTGAAAAAAAAAACATTAAAGATGCCATTATTTACCTATTTACCGTTCTTCAAAAATACTAGTTTCCTGGCTGTCATACTGCGTCTCTTGTTTTAACACTTTAAAGTTTGTTTATAAAAAAAATGCTGTACAAATGTGCCAAACATTTGCACAACCACAATGAAAAATCAACAGATTTTTTTCTCATATGATTATATCATGAGTGCCATGTAGTAGCCATAATGTAGTATTTCTCATTATAGCCACTAGATGGTGCTGGAGATCATAGGAAGCAATCATAAAAAATAAAGTGATTTTTCCTTGTGGGGGTCTGACTGTCACATTTGAACTCACAAAATATATGTATTGCCCTTTTTTTTTTTCAATTTTTAAACCCTACTAGTTTATTTTTTGTGGCCCTATTGGGGAGGTTTGCATTCACTTCCTGTCCTGAAAAAGCAACAAGAAGTGAGAGGATCTCACAGAGTGAGGAGACTTTCCTTCTTGGACAGTTGTCAGAGCAACAGGTGTCCCCATTAGTAGATTTCCCCTCATTTCCTGGCCTGCTGACAACTGTAACATTTTGACAAATAAAGAGTGTAAATCTACCCAGCAGGACCACAAACAGCTATAAAAACTTAATAGGGGCTCTAATTATTTCCTTCTCTATCCAATGCATTGAAACAAATGACATTATATACACTTTTGGTCACAAACCCAGAAAAAGCATATAGATTAAGATGGCCATACACTACACATTCTAATTGTACAATCTCCTTTATATGTACCAAAACTTTATCATAGGAGGACACACTTAATCTATTCAACCAGTCTGTATCCAGTCTGGCAGGCCCTTGCCTTGCATGGTTGATGGCAGATTTAAAGGAGATTGTACAATCAGATTGAAGCGTGTATGTTGAGTTTAAGACTTCTGAATTGATTCTGGATTCCCCAATCAGCAGCAGTCTGTATAACACCCTTTCAACTAGCATTTCTAAATCAGCCTAACAATGGCAGCCTCTGTATTTCTTTCATGATTGCTTTACTTTCAAAAAAAAAAAAAAAAACTGTTGAAATTTTTTTTTTTCACTTATCCAATAAAGACAAACTGAACCATAAACATAAGCACACTTAAATGAATTCTATGTGTTTAAAGTGAATGTGACGTCATAGGAAAGTTCTTAAAGCAGCACTGGCAGAACCCAGCAGGTACCCGTCATTCTGGGTTGTGAGTCTAGGGGGGCTTCATTATGTGGATTGTAGACAGCCCCCAAGATCCAGACCCCACTCCCTTGCACCTATGGGCATGTTAGGGAGCAAATTACAGTGATGGGCTAGTAGGCACAGAAAAAGGCAGGTCCAAGCTCCTGACCAATGCTAGCTCACAGAGGGATATCAGGATGGTACTGGAGGGTTCAATATGTGATGTGTAGACACCTGGAGGTGACAGTTCTGTTGGTCCAGTGACACTTTGGAACTTCTATATGACTGGATCACAATAATAACTGACAAATAAGGCAGACTATGACAAGCTATGACTATGGACTATAATAAGAAACATGTTACTAAAGTGGTGGACAAGCATGAATGTAACACAAGAGGTCAGATATTTACCTCAAACCCTCCGATGACGAGTAGAGAGTTGATGCTATGAGTACGTATCTGTTCAGCGATTTGGTCAAAATATTTAGCAGGAAGAGTTCTGAAATAAAAAATATATTATTTGGTATAGAAAATGGGCAAAAATATCTGGACAGACATGATTTGGAATTCAGGGTACAGGCGGTGCTATTTCTAATGGCCTATACAAACCAATGTGTTGTAACAGCTCACCAATGCATATTCACATCACCGAAACCACGGGAATACACCGATCAGCCATAACTTTTTGACCACCCACCTAATATTGAGTAGGTCCCCTTTTTCCTGCCAAAACAGCCCCATTTGCCACCAAAACAACCCTGACCCATCAAGGCATGAACTCCAATAGACCTCTGTGTATGCTGTGGTATCTGGCACCAAGCCATCAGTAGCAGATCCTTTCAGTCCTGTAGGTTGCAAGGTGGGGCTTCCATGGATCAGACTTATTTTTTCAGCACTTCCCACAGATGCTCGATTGGATTGAAATCTGGAAAATTTGGCGCCATAGTCAACACCTCAAACTTGTTGTTGTGTTCCTCATCAATTTCTTCAGTGTGGTAGGGTGCATTATCCTGCTGAAAGAGGCAACTGCCATCAGGGAATACCATTTCCATGAAGGGCTGTACTTGGTCAACAATAATGCTTTGGTAGGTGGTACGTGTAAAGTAATATCCACATGAATGGCAGGACCAAAGGTTTTCCAGCAGAACATTGCCCAAAGCATCACACTGCCTCTGCTGGCTTGCCTTCTTCTCATAGTGCATCCTAGTGCCATCTCTTCCCTAGGAAAGCAACACACGCACCCGGCCATCCACATGATGTGAAGAAAACCATGATTCATCAGACCAGGCCACATTCTTCCATTTCTCCATGGTCCTGTTCTGAGGCTCTCATGCCCAATGTAGATGCTTTTGGCTGTGGACAACATGGGCATCCTGACCGATCTGCAGCTAAGCAGCTCCCATATACAGCAAACTGATGCCCATTTTTTCTGCTTTCAAGACATCAACTTCAGGGACAACAATGTTTACTTGTTCCCTAATATACCTCACCGACCTTCAGATGCTATTGTAAGGAGATAATCAATGCTATTCACCTTACCTCTCAGTGGTCATAAAATAATGGCTGTTCGGTGTGGAGCTTCCATTATGGAACTATGGGGCTCTTGACATTCCTGTGTGGCATTACAGTACATTACAGTGCTTTAATAAAAAATTGGCTACATCGTTCATTTCTTGAAAATATGCATTATATTATAGTCAATGCTAACATATTAATAATGGGGTGTGCATTTTAATTAGAACATTTTTGAGTCACATGTCCAAGATCTGGATGTCCAGCATATGTTTGTGATAGGAAAATGGAAAAAGAAGTAAAAAAAAACACAAGTAAAACAGTATTAATGGGCATTGTGGTGTATTAAAAGTAACTGCAATGCAAAAAAAGTGCATATATTTCATACCAAAGTGCATATATGTTTTGAAATACATTTGTGTGAATGAGCCCCAAACATCACCCATCTTTCCCCACTTTGCTGCTCTCACCGTGCACTATGACAAAATTAAATATAGTGTTACAAGAATTGTACAGACAAATAACGGAGGAGCAGAAAACAATCACCCATGGCAAGCAATCAGATGTCTGCTGTTCTAAACCACAATTTAGAACAAATACAAAGAAGAATATAATTTGTTGCTATACTAAATAAAGACACACGTTCTTTCCTTCTGTTCTGATAAATTCTTTACCAGCTCATTGCAATTTAAAGTCATATTAATACCTAAAACTGGTATCTTTGCAGTGAGTTTTGAGCCCATAAAAAAGGAATGGGCTCAAATCACACTGAAAAGAATCACATGCAATTTGAACAGGAATGAGGTGTGATTCCTGTCTGAATCGCATGTGGTTTCCCACACTGCTCTTGTGTAAACCCAGGCTGAAGTCATTATGACAAGCCTGGGTTCATGGTAATTGGTATCGACAAGTATTTGAGTACAAGTATCTGTATTTTTACTCGCTGGTAAAAAAAAATGGGTCAGATCTCTTCTAATGTAAAGTTTCAAAAATCTAATAAAAACCTATTTGAAAAAAAAAAACGGTTATTGGTGCATCCCTGCTTACCTGTGGTTTTGCACAAAACAACTCCTATCCTCCTCTTCTGTGGTCCTCCACTGGCACTCTTGGCTCCTCCCTCCTACTGAGTGCCCCCTGAGCAAGCAGCTTGCTATAGGGACACCAAAGCTGGCTCACTCACGAGCTGCTGCTCTGCATGTCCATTAACACACAGAGACGTTGCAAGGTCCCGCCCCCTTTCTTTCCTCATTGGCTCACTGGCTGTGATTGACTGCAGATGCTGTCTCAGTCAATGAGGGAGAGTCCCAAAAGCTCTTTTCACATCTCTGGATTGTGATGGCGAACAGGTAAGTTTTAAGGGGGCTGCCGTACACAAAAGGTGAAAAATCTGGAGCCTGCACAACCACTTTAAAATAATTTGTATTGCTTTCTTCCTGCATCATGTAAAAACCTTTATGTGTGATTAAAATGCTGACGTGACAATCTGATGGTACAATCTCCATACAATTTTCTTCAGGTCTACCAATATAATGTGGGGACCACTTTACACTATCCATTCAATTTGTATTCAGTCAGGCATATCCTTGGACTACATGTTTGTTGCTAGCTCTAAAGGAAATTGTACATGACTGTAAAGTGCATGTTCAGATTTAATCTTCATAATTTCAGGTCAAGTCAGTGATTACAATATCACTGATTGACTGTACAATAGAATACAAAATCTAAAATAACTGCATCCAAAATGGGATATGTTAAAAGGGGAAGTATCATGGAATTTGGTCTAATTCACTGTTCAAAGGCATAACTAGGGCTTCATTTACATGGGTGTACCAATCTGTACACCCGTGCGAAGGGCCATCTTCACCTGTGCAGGCTGTACAGGTGTTGCGTGCAGCCCCATGCAGGCAGTCTGGTCAAATTAGTGACAGGCACCGGGGCTGATGGACTTGCAGCGGATCTCCAAGCGCATCCAGGAGTGTACATCTGTGCAGATCCAGTGCACAAATCAGAACACAGTCTATCTGCAATTTCAATTAGTGTGTGGCCATCCCTGCTTGACAAAAGCCAAATGTTTGGTCAACTTCTGGCGAAAAGGACATGTTGGAAAATTTTTCCTGATCAGCAGCAGCAGCCAATTAGCTGCAGCCACTGATCAGTATATTGTGAAAGCATTAGGTCCCGCTGTCAGAATACAGGGGTTCATTTACTAAAGCGGTAGAGTGTAAAATCAGGCTCACTTCTGCATATAAACCAATCAGCTTCTAACCTCAGCTTGCTCAATTCATCTTTGGCAATAAAACCTGGAAGCTGGTTTCTATGCAGAAGTGAACCTGATTTTGCACTCTTCAGCTTTGGAAAATAAACCCCACAATGTCCTGGCAGGAGGATTCCTCCATTTACCTCATTTGTGTGGATCTAGGAATGAGTTTGTTTTTTTCCCCTCAGCCTTGTGTTTGAATGAAAGAAAACTAACCATGTATGGCCAGCGTAACACTGAACAGGCCTACAGGCAGGAACAGCACAAGGATAACCTGACCATTGTCCTGCTGCTCCTTCACTGTCTACAGTAATTACAGCCTGGGGGAGGAGAGGTGACTAAGAAAGCAGAATTACTATTCAGCTCAACATTCTATAGTCTGTCATCAGGTCGATAAGTATCATTACCATGAATGTGAGTTGGGAAGGGTAGAGATCTGCAAATACATAGGATGCTAGCAGCTATAAGAGAAATGTAGGCCATATATAGAGGACATACACTCACCGGCCACTTTATTAGGTACACTTTGCTAGTACGGGTTGGACCCCCTTTTGCCTTCAGAGCTGCTTCATTCTTAGTAGCATAGATTCAACAAGGTAATGGAAACATTCCTCAGAGATTTTGGTCCATATTGACATGATATCATATTTGTCGGCTGCACATCCATTGTGCAAATCTCCCATTCTACCACATCCCAAAGGTGCTCTATTGGATTGAGAACTGTTGACTATGGAGGTCCCATTGGAGTACAGTGAACTCATTGTCATGTTCAAGAAACCAGTTTGAGATGATCTGAGCTTTGTGACATGGTGCATTATCCTGCTGGAAGTAGCCATCAGAAGATGGGGACACTGGAGTCATAAAGGGATGGACATGGTCAGCAACAATACTTAGGTGGGCCGTGGAGTTTAAACGATGCTCAATTGGTACTAAGGGGCCCAAAGTGTGCCAGGAACATATCAGCCACATCACCACCCCCAGCCTAAACCATTGATACAAGGCAGGATGGATCTATGCTTTCATGTTGTTTCCGCTGAATTCTGACCTTACCATCTAAATGGCGCAGCTGAAATTGAGACTCATCAGATCAGGCAATGCTTTTACAGTCTTCTATTGTGCCATTTTGGTGAACCTATGCAATATGTAGCCTCTGTTTCCTGTTCTTAGCTGACAGGAATGGCACGCGGTGTGGTCTCCTGCTGCTGTAGCCCATCTGTTTCAAGGTTTTCACATGTTGTGCATTCAGAGATGGTATTCTGCATACCTTGGTTGTAACAAGTGGTTAATTGAGTTACTGTTGTTTTTCTATTATCCCGAACCAGTCTGCTCATTCTCCTCTGACTTCTGAAATCAGCAAGGCATTTTCGTCCACACAACTGCCGTTCACTCCAAAGACATGCTGGTAGGTTAATTGGTTCCTGTGTAAATTTGCCCTAGTATGTGTATGTATGAATGTAAGTTAGGGACCTTAGATTGTACACCCATTGAGGGTTAGGGACTGATGTGAATGTACAATATATATATGTAAAGCGCTGCGTACATTGACGGCACTATATAAGTACCAGAAATAAAATAAATAAATAAATCAATGGATATTTTCCTTTTTTCGGAATATTATCTGTAAACCCTAATGATGGTTGTGCATGAAAATAAAATACCAGTAGATCAGAAGTTTCTGAAATACTCAGAACCGCCCATCTGGCACCAACAACCATGCCATGTTCAAAGTCACTTAAGTCCCCTTTCTTCCCCATTCTGATGCTCCGTTTCAACTTCAGCAAGTCATCTTCACCACATCTAGATGCCTAAATGCAGTGAGATGTTGCCATGTGATTGGGTAATTAATTTGTGTTACCAAGTAATTGAACGGTGTACCTAATAGTGGTCGATGAGTGTTTATTTGACACCTTCAGATTGAGATGATTTTTTTAAGCCTGGGACTCTGTTTTAAAAGCTCAAAGTGATTAACAATATAAATATTTACTTAATTGACTTTACTAGGATAAAATTACCTTTTGGTTCCCAAAAGAGATCCACCCTGACCAGTCCAGCCTCCAACATCTCCCCATTTTATCTCTTTCACCTGCAGAAAGAAAATTACTTTTTATGCTTAGTTTTATATTATCCTGCAACGATATGTGGAGGAACCGGATTGCTGTGTACACACAAGGTACCGTGTCAGGGCATACAGTACAATGTACACCCGAAGATTGTGATTGGGTGATAGTTATCCAACATACTCAGCTCAACATTCTAATAATTACCAATTGGTGTAAGGCTTTTTTTAAAAATATAATATAAATATATATATACACATACACACACACACAAAATATATTGCCAAAAGTATTGAGATGCCTGCCTTTACACGCACATGAACTTTAATGGCATCACAGTCTTAGTCTGTAGGGTTCAATATTGAGTTGGCCCACCCTCTGCAGCTATAACAGCTTCAACCCTTCTGGGAAGGCTGTCCTGCAAGGTTTAGGAGTGTGTCTATGGGAATGTTTGAACATTCTTCCAGAAGCGCATTTGTGAGGTCAGGCACTGATATCGGATGAGAAGGCCTGCCTCGCAGTCTCCGCTCTAATGCGTACCAAAGGTGTTCTATGGGGTTGAGGTCAGGACACTGTGCAGGCCAGTCAAGTTCCTCCATCCCAAACTAGCTCATTCACGGCTTTTATGGACCTTGCTTTGTGCACTGGTGCACAGTCATGTTGGAACAGGAAGGGGCCATCCCCAAATTGTTCCCACCAAGTTGGGAGCATGAAATTGTCCAAAATGTCTTGGTATGCTGACGCCTTAAGAGTTCCCTTCACTGGAACTAAGGGGCCAAGCCCAACCCCATGAAAAACAACCCCACACCATAATCCCCCCTTCACCAAACTTTACACTTGGCACAATGTAGTCAGGCAAGTACCGTTCTCCTGGCAACCGCCAAACCCAGACATGTCCATTGGATTGCCAGAGAAGTGTGATTCGTCACTCCAGAGAACACGTCTGCTCTTGAGTCCAGTGGTGGCGTACTTTACACCACTGCATCCGATGCTTTTCAGTCTCTGCTTTAATTCATCTCAAAGGTGTTTGCATCTGATGGTTTGCATTGCACTTGGTGATGTAAGGCTTGGATGCAGCTGCTCGGCCATGGAAACCCATTTCATGAAGCTCTCTATGCACTGTTGTTGTGCTAATCCACAAGAAGTTTGGAGGTCTTTAGCTATTGACTCTGCAGACAGTTGGTGACTTCTGCTCACTGTGTGCTTCAGCATGTGCTGACCCAGCTCTGTCATTTTACATGGCCTACCACTTCATGTGTCACAAGTTAGCTTGCAGTTTCTTGTTTGTGTTCTTACCTTCTTGCTGCAGTCCTGTTCCTGATCCCTTCTCATGTGTTTGTCTGTGCTCATCTATGGGCGTCATCTGCTGTCCTCTGGGTTTTATTTTTCTTCCCTTCCATCACTTCCTGGCCCGCCTCCTTGTTTGCCTGTCTATATAAGATGTGCTCAGACTAGGCCACTTTGCCTTAGCAACTTCCTAGTTGTTGGAGCTCCTGTGTGTTACTACTGTCTGAATCCTTTATTGACTGCTCGTGTACCGACCCCGGCTTCGTTCTCTGACCTTGCTTGTTTTCCACCTGTCTTGACCTCGGCTTGCCTATCAGATTACATTTGTCTCCACCCTTTATACTCTGCTCCCGCGAGCGTTCTCCTCAACCTCAGCTGAGTGTACCTGGGGGCCGCGACCTGGTCCCAGCTTGCTGCAAGTCCATCCCCACTATCAGGGGCTCTGGTGAACAAGCAAGCTGGGGCTTAGACTCCGCACCCTGGGGAACCCCAAGTTGAGGATCATTAAGAGCTCACTACCACAGGTGCTGACATCATGGCTGAGTTGCTGTTGTTCCCAGTTGCTTCCACTTTGTTATAATACCACTAACAGTTGACTGTGGAATATTTAGTAGCAAGGAAATTTCACGGATGGACGTATTGCACAGGTGGCAACCTATCACGGTACCATGCTTGAATTCACTGAGCTCCTGACAGCGACCCATTCTTTCACAAATGTTTGTAAAAGCAGTCTGCATGCCTATTTGCTTGAATTTATACACCTGTGGCCATGGAAGTGATTGGAACTCCTGAATCCAA